AACTAGAAAAATGCTTGTTTTTTGCCCCCTAATTCCTAAAATTTGGAGGCAATTACCCCCAAAATCAATCCCAGCATTCAAACCCTCAATCAGCATCATTTAACAGTAATATCTAAAAATGGAAATTACATAATAAAGGTATTAAAATAGAAAATGACATCATAGTCATGGCTAAAAATAAACAAAATCCTTAATCAGCAACATTTTACAGTAATATCTAAAAATAAAATTCCTTTGTAACCATAAAAGCCCATTTAAATACATCATGACAGATATTAAAATAGAAAATGACATCATAGTCATGGCTAAACATAGCAAAAACCTTAATCAGCATCATTTAACAGTAATATCTAAAAATAAAAATTTCTTTGCAACCATAAAAGTAAAATAGAAAATGACATCATATTCATAGCTAAAAATAAACAAAATTTTTTTTTATTACCAAATTTTAAATGGAGTTTATTAAACTAAAACAATAAATTTGCAACCATAAAACCCCATTTAAACACATCATAAAAGTATTAAATAATTCAACTACATCATAAGGCTATAAAAATAGAAAATGACTTCATAGTCAAGGCTAAAGGTAAACAAAAAACCTTCATCAGCAAAATTTTATATTGGCAAATTTCCAATGAAGTTTATTATACTAAAATTGTTGGCAAATTTCCAATGCATTTATTAACAATAAAGTTATTGGCAAATTTCCAATTTACATAATTTAAAAGCAGTGTAAGTGAGATATTTAAATGAGTTTGAATTACCAACCTTACACTGCTTTTAAATAATGTTTTGTACTTATTTGTCTATTAACCTGGAAACCCTTGTTTATTCACCTTTTTTTCCCTTATTATTTAAAGGTTTGAGCCATAACCCTACCCCAAAGCCAATTCTTAATTCCAATGTAACCTAAATTTACAATATACATAACTTCAATTTAAGTTTTTGATAAAATCAAACCACATCATTATTATTTGCTTTTATATCTAAATCAGAAATAATTAACCAACTTTAAGTGGAAAATTTTCACACATCACGCCCCCCAAACTCAATCCCAGCCTTCAGTTTGTGGTATGGTACCTTGCAGTACAATTTCACAGAGATCCAATTACTTAAACACAATTAATTGTTGGAAACTAAAAAAAAATGCTTATTTTTAACCCCTTTTTTAGCCCCTTATTCCTAAACATTTGAGCAATTATCCCCCAAACTCAATTCCAACTTTCTCTTTGTGATCAGAATTAACCAACTTAAAATGGAAAATTTTAAAGAAAAAAAAAAGGAAAAAAAATCCCCCCCCCCCCCCCCCAAATTTTTTGACCCACTTCCCTTTGTGGTATGGTACCTTTAAGTACAATTTCAGTGAAATCCATACACTTGAACACAAGTTAATGTCTGGAAACTAGAAAAATGCTTATTTTTGCCCCCTTTTTTGGCCACTTATTAATAAATGTTTTGGGCAAACATTTTACAATAATATTTAAAACTGAAATTAATTTGTAACCTTAAAATTAAATAGAAAATGACATCATAGTCATAGCTAAAAATAAACAAACTATTGGTAAATTTCCAATGGAGTTTATTATATTAAAACAATAAATTTGCAACCATAAAAGCGCATTAAAATACATCATAAAAGTATTAAAAAAAATTTAACTACATCATAAGGCTATTAAAATAGAAAATGACATCATAGTCAGACTAAAGGTAAACAAAAAACCTTCATCAGCAAAATTTTATATTGGCAAATTTCCAATGAAGTTTATTATACTAAAATAATTGGCAAATTTCCAATTTACATAATTCAAACATAGTGCAGGTGAGATATTTAAATGAGTTTGAATTACCAACCTTACACTGCTTTTAAATAATGTTCTTTACTCAATTATTTGTCTATTAAAATGGAAACCCTAGTTTTTTAACCTTTTTTCCCCTTATTCCTTAAACGAAAAAAAATAATTACCCCTTTTTTTACCCCCCCCCCCCCCTTATGATTCATCACCCCCCCTTCCCCCCCAAACCAAGCTCAATAACAGCCTTGCCTTTGTGGTATGGTACCTTGTAATACAATTTTAGAGAGATCCATACACTTGAACACAAGTTATTGTCTAGAAACTAAAAAATGCTTATTTTTCACCCCTTTTTAGGCCCCTTATTACTAAACGTTTTGGGCAATTACCACAAAACTCAATTCCAGCTTTCCCTTTGCAAAATGGAACCTTGTAGTAAAATTTCAGAAAGATCCATACACTTACACACAAGTTATTGTCATGAAACTAGAAAAATGCTTGTTTTTTGCCCCCTTTTGGCCCCTTATTCCTAAAATTTCGAGGAAATTAACCCCAAAATCAATCCCATCATCGACCCTTTGTGATATGGAATCTTGTAGTACAATGTCAAAGAGATCCATACAATAACACACAAGTTATGTCTGGAAGTTACAAAAATGCTTATTTTCGGCCCCTTTTTGGCCCCTAATTATTTAACTGTTGGTACCATAACCCCCAAATTCAATCCCCACCTTCCTATTGTGGTATTGAACCTTATGGTAAAATTTCATAGAGATCCATTCACTTAAACTAAAGTTAGAGTGCGAAAACCATTGTGTATTCGGACGACGACGCCGGACGATGACGACGACGACGCCAACGTCATACCAATATACGACCACAAAATTTTTTTGCGGTCGTATAATAATATTCAAGATAATAACCAAAAACGGCAAAATTTCCTTAAAATTACCAATTCAGGGGCAGCAACCCAACAACGGGTTGCCTGATTGGTCTGAAAATTTCAGGGCAGATAGATCTTGACCTAATGAACAATTTTATCCTCATCAGATTTGCTCTAAATGCTTTGGTTTCAGAGATATGAGCCAAAAACTGCATTTTACCCTATGTACTATTTTTTAGCCATGTCGGCCATCTTGGTTCGCGAGCGGGGTCATCGGACACATTTTTTAAACTAGATACCCTAATGATGATTGTGGACAAGTTTGGTTAAATTTGTCGTAGTAGTTTCAGAGGAGAAGATTTTTGTAAAAAATTACAAAAATTTACGAAAAATGGTTAAAAATTGACTATAAAGGGCAATAACTCCTTAAGGGGTCAACTGACCATTTTGGTCATGTTGACTTATTTGTAGATCTTACTTTGCTGAACATTATTGCTGTTTACAGTTTATCTCTATCTATAATAATATTCAAGATAATAACCAAAAACGGCAAAATTTCCTTAAAATTACCAATTCAGGGGCAGCAACCCAACAACGGGTTGCCTGATTGGTCTGAAAATTTCAGGGCAGATAGATCTTGACCTAATGAACAATTTTATCCTCATCAGATTTGCTCTAAATGCTTTGGTTTCAGAGATATGAGCCAAAAACTGCATTTTACCCTATGTACTATTTTTTAGCCATGTCGGCCATCTTGGTTCACGGGCGGGGTCATCAGACACATTTTTTAAACTAGATACTCTAATGATGATTGTGGACAAGTTTGGTTAAATTTGTCTTAGTAGTTTCAGAGGAGAAGATTTTTGTAAAAGATTACAAAAATTTACGAAAAATGGTTAAAAATTGACTATAAAGGGCAATAACTCCTTAAGGGGTCAACTGACCATTTTGGTCATGTTGACTTATTTGTAGATCTTACTTTGCTGAACATTATTGCTGTTTACAGTTTATCTCTATCTATAATAATATTCAAGATAATAACCAAAAACGGCAAAATTTCCTTAAAATTACCAGTTCAGGGGCAGCAACCCAACAACGGGTTGTCCGATTCATCTGAAAATTTCAGGGCAGATAGATCTTGACCTGATAAACAATTTTACCCCATGTCAGATTTGCTCTAAATGCTTTGGTTTCAGAGATATATGCCAAAATCTACATTTTACCCCTATGTTCTATTTTTAGCCATGGTGGCCATCTTGGTTGGTTGGCTGGGTCACCGGACACATTTTTTAAACTAGATACCCCAATGATGATTGTGGCCAAGTTTGGTCAAATTTGGCCCAGTAGTTTCAGAGGAGAAGATTTTTGTAAAAGTTTACGGACGACGGACGGCGGACGACGGACGACGGACGCAAAGTGATGAGAAAAGCTCACTTGACCTTTCAGGTCAGGTGAGCTAAAAAGTGAGAATTTCTCATGACAAAAAAACTTAATTTTTTTTTCAAACTGTCGCTGAACCATGAATATGAGGTCAAGGACAATGGACATATGATTGACGGAAACTTTTTAACATAAGGTATCAACATACAAGATATGAAGCATCCAGGACTTCTACCTTCTGAAATATAAAGCTTTATACAAATAGTTTACGCTGCAGCTGGATAGTAATACCTATGTCTCAGACGAGACAAAAATTGAAATAGCAGATGTCATGGAGACATCACAATACAACAGAAGTGATCCATAAACATCTACAACTGGATTCTGTACCACAATAATAAAGACTGATGACAATCTGTATACTCCCCATCCAATCCTGTCCAATTTAATGGTCAGAAGATAACAAATATTGTTCTATTCCAGAACAACCACTTAGACTGATTCTCTTAACAATAGTGCAAATGAATGGTATAACTAAGTTTTACATAGTGTCTAATGAATTTAACCATGAACAGAGTATAGTGTCTACTAAATTTACTTGCACAACAGAGCTTCACTGTACAATTAATCAAATCAATAGTTTTTGCAAAATTATCTTCCTTGTATACTATCAATTAGATAACCTTTTCTACCTCAACAAATATTTTCTTTTAACAATCAATGACAACAAATAAGTCAAGTGAACAATGACAATAGTTAATTTCTTTTTAAAGAAGACAATAAATGCTAAAGCTTGGAAAACCTTTCCAAAATATTAAAAATGCCTTAGGGGAGGTTACCCTCTCAATTCATTTCAACTCTGTTTCAGCTCTGCATTGACTTGGCTTTTATATGGTTTTGGACATTTCTAGTACATCTCAGGGGAAGTAACAAGAATATATCATATATAAGTTACGAGACTTTTACTGTCTTATTTTTCATCAATCTATACAAATCAATAGCTTTCTGTCTTTCAGCATCCATTACTTGTTGTTTAGCCATGGAAAGATTTTTCCTTTTAGTAGTTTGTCCTATCTCTCTATTACTTGAACGTAAGCTACTATTTGGACTAGAAGCAGAATTTGCTAAAATTATTTCTTTTAGAAGAAGTGATCTTTTTCCAGGCTGAAAAAATAATAAAATAAAATGTAAATTCTTCACGCACAGTTGAATTTCCATAATTTATTGTCAGTTGTTTTAATATTGGAATATAGACTACAAAAATCTGCTACTGATAAGTATTTCATTGTTTCTTATATATATATTTATTCATACGCAAAAATATACTGCCTGCATTTCTAAGACACCCATTTTGCTCATCAAAGTATACAAAGAAAAGGCATTTAAATCTTGAGATACAAATTATGAAGCTTCCAAACAAGACATCCAGAGTACGGTTTTAGACTTTTTTTCACATTCATTACACTTGTTTGTTGAAGGTTGAAGGACTAACTAGTATTAGTAAAATTAGGGGGTGTATAGTAGAAGTCTAATACTTTCATGCACTTAGGGAACATGTGTACTAAGTTTCAAGTTGATTGGACTTCAACTACATCAAAAACTACCTTAACAAAAACTTTGACCTGAAGCAGGACAGAAGGACGGACGGACGGCCAGACAGACTGACGCAAAGACCAGAAAACATAATGCCCCTACCACTATCGTAGGTAGGACATAAAAATATTTGTGTTAACTACATATCTATACATATTTGTCACTTGATGTTAAGCACACAGCAATTAATCATATACTGCTTATAAATAATGTGCATAAAATTTAGGCATGTTTTTTGGAAATGGGGGGATTTCATTTAACTTGATAAATTAAGCAAAAGTTAGTATCCATTCTGCAGAAACAACCTGCTATAACTGAACCATATACTTAAACAGCAAAGTTATTTTTCTTTCAAAAAAAAATCAGGCAATTGTACTATAATAAACTGCTTCGCCAAGCACAGCTGGATACGACAGCAGAGGTCCAACCCTGAACAGTTGGGGCAAAAATGGACACAATATTCTCGCTTGATACAGGTCTGAATTTGGATTGTAATTAAATATTTGACACATTATAGGTTTCTGACACAGAATAAATGTAGTCAAAGAACTTAAAATTGGTTATATGATTTGAATTTATATTCAATTGAAGATTTCTTGCTTTTGTGCAATACACTGTGCTGTTGCGCAATACTAAGTAAATCTGTTTTCAGACTATATACTAATCAGCAATTGTGACCCCCAATTTTTCTTTGGAAAATTGACAATTTCTTAAATCTTGAAGAAAAAAAATTAAACCCCCCCCCCCCCCCCCCCCCCAAAAAAAAACATTTGAAGAAAATTTTTTTTTGTAAAATGTGGTACATTTTAAGAGACATCAATATACTTAATCACAAGTTATTGTCTGAAAACTAGAAAAATGCTTGTTTTAGACCCTTTTTGGCCCCTAATTCCTGGACTGTTTGGACAATTACCCCCAAAATGAATCCCAACCTTTGACTTGTGGTATTGAACCTTGTGGTAAAATTTCAGATCACTCAATATACTGATACACAAGTTATTGTCCTGAAACTAGAAAAATGCTTGTTTTGGGCCCCTTTTTGGCCCCTAATTCCTAAACAGTTGGGACCATCAACCCCAAAAACAATCCCAACCTTTCTTTAGTGATATTGAAACTTTTGGTAAAATTTCATAGAGATCCATACACTTAAACTTAAGTTACTGTCCGGAAACCAAATGTCTTCGGACGACGACATGATAGCAATATACGACCCCAAAATTTGTTTGCAGTCGTATAAAAAGTTTCTTTAATTTGTTCTTGGTCAATCAGGTAAACATATTCCAAACAAACAAAAAAGAAATGAAAATAAGAAAGGGAAAATATTTTATGCACATGCATTTATATATAATTGATTGATTGATTGTTGTTAGCTTAATATCCAGTGGCAAATTAGTATATATATTCCATTTCTGGAAATGCTGCACTTCATTCAATACAATAATAAAAATTAACCAACATTTATTTTTTTAAAGTGCAATGCATGCAGTTTGTGTGGAAAACATGTGAAAATGTTTTCAAATTAAAAAAACAATATTTCTATTGTATTTTAAACCTTTAATGAATTTAGTTTTAAAAGATTTTACAGATAAATTGGAAGGAAAACAGATCACTCTCACTTCATGGCTCATTTGGAGACACATGTGAAATTATGCAGATGTCTAACATAAAATATGAATCCAGCAGAAAATCCTTCTTTGTTTAATTTATTATCTGATTAATAACAGAACAAAGAATGTGAAATAGCTATTAAATGAAAAGGGCAATACAAGAGGGTCTGGATGGGGAGTGGGGCCTCCATTTCTTTATTCTTAAGACCATATTACTCAATTCTTTTTAATTCAGCACCCAATTATTTTCTATTCTTTATTTATTTGCCTTTTTTTCTCTATTCTGTTTTTTTGTTTGCATCTCATATTTTCAAACTGATTTCAAATTGTGCATACTTTAAAATAGTGCTAGATTTCAGTGTCATTAATCCTATTCAGCACCCTAGGTCAATATCTTCTTTCAGCATGTTCAGTACTATAGTACAATATCCTTATTCAGTGCCTTATTGCAATAGCATTATTCAGAGTAATAGTGCAAAAGCCTTATGATGGGTCTTAGTGCAAAAGTTTTATTCAGTGTAATAGCATGTTATTCATAGTGATATCTTTATTCAGTGCATAAAATGGAAGTCTTATTTAGTGTCTTAGTGCAATAGCCTTGTTAAGTGTCTTAGTGCAATAGTCTTATTCATTGCCTAATTGTGTTATCCTAAGTGATATATTTATTCGGTACTTAAGTTGGATAGCCTTTTTCGTTGCCTTAATGTGATTGCCTTATTCAGTGTCTTATTGCAATATCATTATTCATTCCCTGATTGCAATGACTTGTTCATTAACTTAGTGTCATAGCCTGATTCAGTGCCATAAGAGCAGTACCATTATTGAGTTCCTGAGTGTGATACCTTATTTAATGCCTTAGAGAAATAACATTATTCAGTGTCTTAAGTTTAATAACCTTTTTGGGTTTGGTGTCTTAATGATAGAATCTTATTCAGCACCTTAGTGCAAAATCCTTATTCAGTGTGTAAGTGCAATATAATTTTCCATTGACATTGTGAAAAGCACTAATCAGTGCCTTAGTGCAATAGCTTAATTCAGTGCAATAGAATAATAGCCCTTTTCAGTGCCCGAGAGCAATAGCTTAATTCAGTGCATTAGAAAAATAGCCCTGTTCAGTGCCTTAGTACAATAGTCCTGTTCAATGCCTTAATGCAATAGTTTAATTCAGTGCATTGGAACAATAGCCCTTTTCAATACCTTAGTGCAATATTTTAATTCAGTGCATTAGAACAATAGCCCTTTTCAGTGCCTTAGTGCAATAGCTTTATTCCGTGCATTAGAACAATAGCCTTTTTCAGTGCCTTATTACAATAGCTAAATTCAGTCCATTAGAACAATAGCCTTTTTCAGTGCCTTATTACAATAGCTAAATTCAGTCCATTAGAACAATATCCCTTTCCAGTGCCTTTGCGCAAAAGCCTTGTTCAGTACCTTAGTATGACATCCATATTCAGTACCTAAGTGTAATACCCTTACTCAATGTCTTAGTGAAGTACCCTTATTCAAAGACTTAGAAAAGTACTCGTATTCAGTACATTAGTCCAATAACATTATTCAATGTCTTGCAGCAATATTCTCATTAAATTTCTTAAGAAACTAGCCTTATTCAGTCCATTAGTGCAATAAACTTGTCTAATGCATGGGTATGGTGACCAAATTCTTAGTGTATAACCTCATTTGTAGCTTTAGTAAATAAACTCATCATAGATACCAGGATCAAAATTTGTATTGGCGCCAGACACACGTTTCGTCTACAAAAGACTCATCAGTGACGCTCGATTCAAAAAAGGTTAAATAAAGTACGAAGTTGAAGAACATTGAGGACCAAAAATTCCTAAAAGTTTTGCCAAATACAGCTAAGGTAATCTATTCCTGAGGTAGAAAAGCCTTAGTATTTCAAAAATTCAAAGTTTTAAAAACAGTTAACTTATAATTATGACCATATCAATGACAACTCATGTCAACACAGAAGTGCTGACTACTGGGCTGGTGATACCCTCAGGGAATAAAAACTCCAACAGCAGTGGCATCGACCCAGTGGTTGTAAATAAACTCATCATAGAAAATAAGCCTTTTTCAGGGCCTTGATGCAATAAATCTATTTAAGATGCAAGTAAAACAAGCTTATCCCGGGCCTTAGCATAACAAACTTATTCAATACCAGACTGAATGTCAGGACTTTAACCTTATTCAGTATCATCATTCAATAACCTTATGAGTCATGACTAAACTAAATGTTTTTCACATGCAAATTGTCGATATATCAACAAAAATTTGTACTTTGCATTTTGTCAGAGATCAAATAAAAATTCCTACCATTACAGGACATATTCTTTAAAGATACAATTTACCCCAAAAGAAGTAAACAAGAGTGCACATGCTGAAATGTCTTGCCTGCTTTACTGACCATTGATTTTATGTTGATAGTCCTAAATATAAGCTTTACTACAAGTATCACATAAACTTAACATGATCCAAGAAAATGAGGTCAAGGTCAGATAAACCAAACTGGAAATACATGTACACCTTACAATCATTCCATACACCAAATATAGTTGACCTATTGCTCATAGTTTCTAAGAATCAAACTTAACTAGGAAAACTTAACATTGACCAATGAACCATGAAGATGAGGTCAAGGTCAGATGAACCATGCAAGACAGACATGTACACCTTACAATCAATCTATGCATTAAATGTAGTTGACCTATGCTTATAGTATCTAAGAAACAAACTTAACCATGAAAACTTAACATTGACCAATGAACCATGAAAATGAGGTCAAGGTCAGATGATACCTGCCAGACAGACCTATACACCTTACAATCATTCCATACACCAAATATAGTTAACCTATTGCTTATAGAACAAAATGTATTAGAAAAAAAAAGACCTAAACACAAAAACTTAACTTTAACCACTGAACCATGAAAATGAGGTCATGGTCAGATGACACCTGCCAGTTGGACATGTACACCTTACAATCATTCCATACACCAAATATAGCAGACCTATTGATAATGGTATCTGATATATGGACTTGACCACTAAAACTTAACCTTGTGCACTGATCCATGAAATGAGGTCGAGGTCAGATGAAAACTGTCTGACAGGCATGAGGATATTGCAAGGTACCCACCTACTAAAAGTTATCCTATAACTCATGATAAGAGAAATTAACATTACAAAAAATCTTAACTTTTTTTTCAAGTACCGGTAGTTTTTGAAACATGAAAATGAGGTCAAGGACAATGGACATATGACAGACAGAAACTTCATAACATAAGGCATCTATATACAAAGTATGAAGCATCCAGGTCTTCCTTCTAAAATATAAAGCTTTTAAGTAGTTAGTTAATGCCGCCGCCTCTGGATCACTATCCCTAAGTCGAGCTTTCTGTGACAAAAGTTGCAGGCTCGACAAAAATACAGTTAATATTTGATTTAAAAGTGATCTTTTTATCTTCAATAAATATTTCTGTGTGAAAACTTGCTATACGTTACATGAATGCATAAGAGTACATTTGATATTCAAGCATGAATCAATTAATCCCTTTCCATAATTGTTACTGTATAAAGGGACGCTATAATCATACCATGTGAACAAAAAGTTATGCATAAAGCACCTAAGCTGTCGTCCCTCCTCTGTGATCTTAATGCACTTATTTTGCGTTTCACTTTTGTAGCTATTTCAATATTTGCAACTAAAATGTATTTCAAATATAGCTATTCCAAAAGTCAAAGGGCAAATCTTTAAATGAAACTGAGGAAACAGGTTTGTCAGCTGACAAAATAATACTATATATATTAAAAAATACTGTTTTTTTATAATGGTTAATGAGAGAATGTGCACACCATTTTTTTGGAAATGAAAAGAGAAAATTTGAATGAAAATTTCCTCAACTTATATATTACATTGCCATTGCTTCATAATGATTTAAACACAGTTTATAGAAATTAACCCCATTACAATTTATGTCACAAATTGATATAAATTTGTTCATCACCTGCTTTTCAGCAAAATCAAAATACTTTAAATTCTGAAATTTTTACATTGTTTTTATCATTGAAAAATTGTGATGGGATAGATTTCACAAGAAGAATGTGTCCATAGTACATGGATTCCCCACTCGCACTATCATTTTCTATGTTCAGTGGACCGTGAAATTGGGGTCAAAACTCTAATTTGGCATTATAATTAGAAAGATCATATCATAGGGATCATATGTTCTAAGTTTCAAGTTGATTGGACTTCAACTTCATCAAAAACTACCTTGACCAAAAACTTTAACCTGAAGCGGTACAGACAGACGGACAAACAAACGAACAGACGCACAGCCGAAAAACATAAACCCCCTTCTACTATCCTAGGTGGGGCATAAAAATAAAACTTGCATTTTAAATTTTAGAGTATGTAATTTGGATTATCTCCCTTTTAACATGTTGGAACAGGATTATTTTCCTGGGTGGTAAAAACAACTTTGTTAAAAAGAGGAGTTAATTTCTAAGGGGAAATATACAAGTGACTTGTCTTTATACCCATCCTTTAAACAAGAACATTTACAAACTTATTTAATTCACATTACCTTAGAAAACTGTTCGTCCTTTACTGCCTTTCTTGGTTTAGATGTCAATATTGGGGGTGCAGAAACTACTTCACCAAACTGTATATCATCTATAAATTATAAACTTTGTAATAAATATAAAGTAATCTGGTCTTGAATAGAGTTAACTTCACTTGTAACATTTACTTTACTCATTTACTAACTAATTTTTTGTTTGATCCCATTATCAGATAAGGCCAATTCTTGGTTGAAAAATACAAAATCAAAGATTTTTATCATTAACTTGCTGGAAACCTTGTATAAAGTATTTCTTGATTTGGATTCAAAAGATATTTGATAATGATGATGATGAATGGCTGTTTGACGTCCAGTGGCAAATTTAATGCATATTCAGGACAAGAACTAGTGCACATGTTATGAATATGTATTCTGCTTTGTACTAGGCCAACACCATAAGTCTAATTTTTACTATGCTAGTTTAAAAGAAAACAGTTGGTGGCGAGACATGTTAACCTAGCCATACACAATATTTTGACTCAAGGCTGACTAAGTCTTTTCTCTTACTCCCAAATGCAGCATGCTTAGGGGAGAAGCAGCAAATATACTAATTGTCAAGTCCTTGGATTGACCAAGCAGGAATCAAACCAAAAACCTGCACTTGAGGCTTGCACACTACCATGAGACCAATGAGGCGGTTAAAAGATATTTGAAAGCATAGATAGATAAGACTACATTAAAATAACAGTTCTGGGTCAAAGTTTTGACAGAAGCATTGAAAGTAAAATTGTAACAAGCAAATAGACAGGAGAGGTCCTTGTAAGTATAAATAATGGAGAGAAATTTATCAAAAATTTCGTGCTCTTATATTACATATACAGTAATGACAGCCATGTTAATATCCAGTATGATTGGATACAATTTTGAAACTGCACTCTTTTTGAGTGATTGTGCCGAAGTTTTCCCTGGAAAACTTTGAAAATAATTAAGATGACATATGCTGAGTGATGATAAAAAAAACATTTGAAAATTGACCAAAATCAAATTTTGTTTTATCAAAACATGAAGTAGAGACTATTTATGATGTCATACTGTGGATTCATTTATTTTTCGTGGGTGCCAGTTTTCGTGGATTGAGAAAACTTATTTAATTATTTAATTTCGTGGTGTTGCCAAAGTCTTCATACAACATTATAGATAATGTTTCATTCGTTGAACATTTAAATTCGTGGTTCACCTGTACCCACGACAATTGGTATCCAACGAATAATAATGAATCCACAGTAACTACATTTGTTGTGACACGCTACAATATGAAAACGTAGCCTTATACAAAACCTTTTAAAAATTCTGTTTCTTTGTTATCAATATCTCTTTCATGTTTCTTTTGTTTCATTTTCTCTTTCTTGTGTTTCAGTTTTCTGAAATCATATGTACAATAAATTAACAAATATCCCCCTTTCCTGAAATCATATGAACAATAATTCAACAAATACCCCCTTTCCTGAAATCAAATGTACAATAAATAACAAATACCCTCCTTCCTACAAGACTCCACAAAAGTTAATCCTCAATTTTTCACTTATAATCACTTTGTGAAACATATGACTTATACCCTTTGTTTAAGGGATGGGGTATCATTATTTTATTGTAATGTGTTGTTTGTTTCTTTACCCTGATCAACTTATTTATATTTTTAGTTTTTCTTCTGTTACAAAATGACAACTAGTGATACATATGGGTGATAGTAAAAATAGTTAACTATACTTCTTCAGCAATTTGTATCACTGGGGTGGTATACAATAACATGGTCAATTTGGGATAGTATCATAAGTTTGCATAACTGCAAAGAAAAAATTTAGAAATTGTCTTAATTCTTGTCTAATAATCTAATTTACTACTGGTATATTTTTTTTTATTAAGATGCAACAATAATAATAGTCCTTCCACATATTTAAACAGCTTAATATTGATTCAATGATCTAAGAAACAGCTTTCTAAAATCAGCATAGAATGGATTCACAATTACAAATTATTTTCCAAAAGATTGATATCTCTTTCCTTTACAGTTGTTTTAGCTAATTTTTAAAGTTTCAGCAAGCCTAAGGTTTCCACAATATCTGAAGCATGTACCTCAAGTGGAAACATATCACACTGGATGTAGTGGTAGTATCTGTATCTTAATAAGACATATTTCTGGAGATTGTGTTACATGTGTGTTTAAAACCATCTTTCTAGAATTACTGTGAACAGTCTGTTTACTGAAGTTGGTTTTTATCTGAAATCTTTCTGGAATTGAGGAATATGTACCACTGTAAACACTTATCTTTCTTGAGTTTGTACTTATGGTTGGCATTGCTGGTGTTTGAGATATATATGACTGTAAACCATCTTTGTTCTGGCATTTATGTTTTATCTTTGACTGTTAACAGTCCTTTTTTAAAAAAGAAGAAACAATTGTTCATGACAGACTATAAACAATCATCAATTAGTTGTTATCAGTCTTAAGTAACATTTGTCATTTTAACAGTTTATATTTACTCTTTTCTGCTTTTGCTCATTGACTTTTTCTTCTTCAAATCTCCATCTATATCTTCAATGTTCATCTGCAAAAAATATTAAACAATTGTAAAATGTTTTAAAGAGGCTTTTAAATGTCCCTGTATCCCTCCCCCCTACAAAAAAAAGAAGAAAATAATATTAGCGAGCTGATGGTTTTTTTTCTGTAGCCACCACATAGAATTTTGTTAGTTGGTCTGGTTAACTAATATCAATTTTTTCTAAAGACAACTCAATCAATAACTATTTTCAATAAGACCATGTATTTTCAAAGAAGTGCAGGTATCTTATTTGCTATATTCTGTCAATGGTCATCTTTGACGGTCACAAAGGTCATATTGACTGAAGGGTCTTCTGATCAATTTAAAAAAAGGACTTTTATTGGACTTCAACGTCACCTGGACTGAAAGCGTTTCAATTTTAGAAAAAGATATCATTCTTCATATTTTAGTCTTTCTATAGTAGAATAAACAAGTATTCTGTGAGTATTGCATGGCAATACATAGTCCCCTACCGGTTACAAATTCATTGTAATGGAACGAAATTCTAACTTGATCTATAACTTGTCATGGTGTAAACTACATAAAAATATCAAGTCAAAATCTTCAAGCATGACGAAAAAAACTGTTGAAAACTGATTATTTAAGTGAATTTTCTATGTCCACAGACCATAACTCTGCACAAAATTATCAGACTGGAACAAAATTCCAACTTGATCTGTAACTTATCATGATAAAACTATATACTAATTATCAAATTAATATCTTCAAGAAGGACAAACAAACCTACCACTAAATTCTTCAAACAATTTACCAAAGAAAAGGAAAAAAATCCAAAATTTTGTCTTTTAAAAGTCTTTTAAAAAATGAGTTATTTCCCTTTGAACAGAAATCTACTAATTAATAAGTATTTCACTAAAATTTAATTCTAGGGAAAGGGCTTTAACTGAACAAAGAGAAAAGCTAAAATCGTGAAAATTGAACTTGACCTGCAACTTGTCATGATAAATCAATAAACCAAATATCAAATCAATATCTTCAAGCACGAAGAAAAAAAGTCTGGAAAACTGATTTGCCGGACTGACAGATGGATGGACAGACAGACGGACAGACAGACGGACGGAGTGCAAACCTAAAGTCCCCTTCGACTTAGTCGGTAGGGGACTAATAAAATGATAAATGAAGTCACTGGCAAGACCTGAACGTAAAACTGTTATGGATAATCCAGTCAATATTTGTAAAAAAAAAATAAAATTGAGAATGAAAATGGGGAATGTGTCAAAGAGACAACAACCCGACCAAACAGCATAAAACAGCCCAAGGCCACCAATGGGTCTTCAACACAGTATGCATTATCTAACATTATGTCATTCAGCTTAGGCCATCACCACTGTGTGGCTTCTTTTTTGCATCAAAAATTGTTTTCAATAACAGAAATCTAATTATACTGTTGATAATAAAAACATGTTACAACATAGCTTCATTTTGAATTTTGGCAAATAATTATTAATAAATAAATACATATTTTGTAATCATATATTAATCTTTTTTCAGAATCAATTTCAATGTCTAATTGTATATACATGTACTGAAACAAAAATAATTGTAAAAGTACAGTAAAGATGAAATAACCAAAAGACTCATTAAAACATAGGTCTGTCATCGTCAATGTAGGTTTAAACTTTAGAGATCATTCAAAAACTTCAAGTTATAACTTATGTACTTGTATTCGTAACATTTACAAACCCCATAGTGATCCGATAATTTAGACTGTAGTAGAACTTTTTGAGTGGCATTATCAACACGATTCAAAAAATCCCTTTCCTTTTCTTTTTTCTTCTGAATAAATACTGGAGGTGGATCAAGAGGTCTTGTCTGTCCTGGGATCATCTTTTGGAAGGTATCTGCAATAAAAAAAACTTATTTGCAAAATTTAAATAATACTCAAAATTGACAACAACACTTCAAATGGTCTGCAATTTTATTTGCTATGGTCTACATGTTTCGCCTTTAGAACAATGTCATGTATCATATAAAAGTAAAACGAACTCATGTTACATTGTAAACAAACTTTACTTTTCTACATTTATCTTATCTATTTATAACTCTTTATTGCTACTTTCACTTTTCATTGTTTCTCTCACCTTGACAACGTCAAATTCAATGTACCACTTTGAGTACTTCAGTAATTAATTTCTGTATGAAAATTGTCCTGATGACGCCTGCCTTGCAGGCGAAACATGTAGACCATAGCAAATAAAATTGCAGACCATTTGAAGTGTTGTTGTCAATTTTGAGTATTATTTAAATGTTGCATTCATTTGCATAATTTGACAACCATGCATACCAAGGTATCCACTTCAGGGACTCTATCGAAATGATTCACACAGGCGTTGGTTCACCAAACGAGTATATTTTAATATTAATTTATTCTTGAACCCCTGCATCCGAAAGGAACTGCCTTGCTACAAGCGCCTATCTACAGGCCACCGCGTATACATCGACCAAGGAATATTCCATACCTGCGACAAAACAACAACTGAACCAAGATGACCAAGATTTCCGATACCACCTTACATACATGTACATCTATAAATGATAGCAGAAGAAACGTACCACACACCACGCGGGTGCCAAATAAATGAACTATAAATTTACAACCATGCCGATAAACAGACCAACTACCAGCAGACGATCAAAAAATTATATATATACCAAATACTTAACAAGGGAACAATTTTTGACAATTTCATTTTCCATTAGCGGCGACCAAAACCTTCCCATTGTTGCCGACGCGCCAGGAAGTAGTAACATCCAACAATGGCCAAGTTGGAAGAGAAGCCTTGCGAATTGGTAGGAACCATGGGAAGTTTGTCCATTTAGATACCAAGCCTTTAGAACAATGTCATGTATCATATAAAAGTAAAACGAACTCAAGTTACATTGTAAACAAACTTTATTTTTCTATATTTATCTTATCTATTTATAACTCTTTATTGCTACTTTCACTTTTCATTGTTTCTCTCATCTTGACAACGTCAAATTCAATGTACCACTTTGAGTACTTCAGTAATTAATTTCTGTATGAAAATTGTCCTGATGACGCCTGCCTTGCAGGCGAAACATGTAGACCATAGCAAATAAAATTGCAGACCATTTGAAGTGTTGTTGTCAATTTTGAGTATTATTTAAATGTTGCATTCATTTGCATAATTTGACAACCCTGCATACCAAGGTATCCACTTCAGGGACTCTATCGAAATGATTCACACAAGTGTTGGTTCACCAAACGGAGTTTAATTTTATTTGCAAGATATATAAGGAGTGGTAAATGATTAGATAATTTGTAAGAATTTTGTCTACCAGGCTGCCAGCACATCTTGGGCAACTTTAATACTCAATCTTAGTTCATACTTATACACTTTAAACAACAATGTATTTTCATTTTATCTGCAGAAGCTGAAGCCCTGAACTAATCGTATAATTCTGTGATGACTAAATAAAATTTCCGCAAGTCTTAGTATCTTTCTTAATGTACTTTATATCAAGCTTATAAAACAAATATACCATATTTGATTTCAGCGGGTTGAGCAGTTTTAAAGAAAAATGTCCTTTATATTACTAATAGGTTCTTATTAAATACCCAATGGAGTTAATACCATATGATAAAACTTTTCTGGCATATCTTTTTTTAATATCTGTTCTACATATTTGCCACAAGCATCTTTGTAAAATTAAGTTAAACGATGTCTGTCATTTTGTTCAACTGATTTGCAATATAGTAACAATAGTTCATTCAGTATCATACTGTTACAGTATCATACATGTACATCAAATCTGTCAATTATGTAGGGTTTAACTAGGTTGAACAGTTCCACATAAAAGTTTCAGTCAATCAGAAAACCTATTATTTACCATTGTGACCATGTCAACTATCAGATCAAAACCATTGTAGCAACATTTTGAACAAATAACCTACCAAATATCCTAAGGACCCTTTCTGTAAAATTTGGGGTGATTTGCTTCCCAAATGCTTAATGATATTGCTGGATAAAATGTACTTAAAAGTACTGCACCTGATATGAGTGTGTTAAACATGATTTCTACATCAGTAGATTAAGAACTTGGAGCTTGCTTTCAGCAACTGCAAGCATTCTTTTTACCATATCATTTACAAAGTATCCCAAAAAGTATCAGTAAAATACTGTTAAAGTAGCTACTACTACTGGAAGTGTTTAACGACCTTGACTGGCTGTTCAGCCCTCACACGGTCGTTAAAGTAGCTGAGGTGTCTTCCTCCATTTTGGATTTTGAAATAGCAGATGGCAATGGGTCTAGATCTTTAATGAAATGTACAAATTTCGAGAGTAGTATGTAATTTATGTGTAAGACTTGTCATGTTAATATAGAAAATTATGTGTTTTATCATATTTACTGCTGTATTTTACACAAAACAGAATATTTTTGTTTGATTCACTTTTTTCCAACTTTGCCACATAAGGGTAGATAACTCAGATATAGGGGACATAACTCAGATAAAGTAACTTTTATAATAGAATGTGTTGTGAATTTACCTATTTTATTATGTAGCAAGAAAACGAGTCCAGTGACTACATTTTTTCTTTTTCTTATCTGAAAGCATATTATAAGAGCTATCTTCTCATATTCTATCTTAAAATTCTATGGTGTAGTTTTCTTTTTATCACACAAAATTGGGTTTTCCATTCATAATCTATACAAAATCTGACAATTAGCACAACCTGTAGCATGATTAAAAGCCCAGTGACCCCTACTTTTTATTATATTTTTGAAAAAAGCATGACATTAACTACATTTTGACAAATTATTAAAAAATTCTATGGATTTTAATTTAGACCCCCCTATCTACCTTAAGTACTTTTCCTGAACTGGTCTTAATTGTATGTTTTACTATGTATATTTTGTTAATCTATTGATTAGATTCAAATGGAGAAAAATCTAGATGAACCTTGCCATATTATTCATGCACCTGTTCCAAATCAGTAACCTTTTAAGTTGTTGTCTTATGTTAGACAGGTGTGGATCCAGGATTTTGAAAAGGGGGGGTGTGCTCCTTACAACCAACGTGTGTAGTGATACTTGTAAATAGTCTATGCATTTATCATATACGGTATTTTGCATAAGGGGAGCCTGGGAACCTTGCCCCCCTAAATCTGCCTCTGTTAAAATTATATCTTACATGTTTTTGCTGTGAAGAATTTGATGTTCATTACAGATCTTTGTTAGTCTCTGATAAACTTAAACACATGTTATCTGGGCAATATATACCTTGACATCCTGTTCTATTGTTGAAGACACCATAATGATCTCTATATGTATTTGATTTTTTTATGTTGTTGGGTTGCTGTTTCATTTATGTAGATACACATGTACATGTAGCCTTCATCTTCTTTTATTCATTTTTGAACAATCATGAAAACCAAATTACAAAAATGTAAAAAAACTGGGAGTATATCCTGTTATAGCGATGTTTCAATCTTTTAGTGTATTTCAATAGTTGCTCTTCTGTTCTTTATTAGCCTTGAAGAAAACTTACATTGCCATTCAAAAATACATTAACTGGAGAATTTGTAATGTATTTTACCACAATGATAAATAAAGTACATGTACATGTATGTTTAATAATTGTTTAATGGTTACCACCATAGAAAATTTAACAATACCTTTTGCTTTCTTTTTCTTGAATTTTTGCCTTTTTCCCATTTTGAACTTTTCTTTATTGTCCATGAAAAATTGCACTTTTCTGGGAATTTCTTGCGCGTCATCATTTTTTGGAGCCTCATCTTGACGAGTTTTTTGATGGCTGAAATGCATAAAAAATTTAACATGCATTAGAGATGTACATACATGTATATGAAATGTAAAGCCAAAAAAAATGTATATGTCTGTTTACGGTTACCCGACCGACCCTAATCAAACATAGTTTGCATCGAGTCGCAACACATTTCCTTTATCCTCTCTCCTTGTGGACAGATCCCAATGAGTTTGGTTTTTTTTAATTTTTATTTGAGTTTTCTTTTCTTTGGTACTGTGTTGTAGGGTTGAACAGTAACTATATAATAAATAGGAATAAATTCTTCAAGGTGTATGAAGAAAGTACATGTATGGGGTACTGGCATGAAATTATTTTACTCATATTCTTCAATAAATTTATATTACTATTTTGTCCACTTGGGATTGACAATTTGCTCTCTTTATTTGGTAAAAGAGAAACTTAACCGTTATGAGCATGTGGAATAGTCATTATTTATGTAATATACAACTCATGTTCCAGATTTGATATCTAATGCCTATATAACAAGAGGCTCTGAAGAGCCTGAATCCCTCACCTGTAAATTTTACTTAAATCTTTCATCAATGATTATTTTTGCTTTTCAATATATATTATTGAGGGCTTAAAAATACCATTTAAAAGTTCTTTGTATCTGTCATATTTTCTTCAAAAGCAAAAAAATGCATTTTACCCCTTTGTTCCATTTTAGCCATAGTGGCTATGTTTCTTGACGTACAAGTAAATAAAATATAAAATTTATACTAGATACTCTGAAACTCATTCAGCCCAAGTTTGGCTGAAATTGATTCAGCAGTTTCAAAGGAGAAGATTTTTTAAAGTAAACAAACTAGATGAACAAATTGTGAAAAATTGTCTTTAAAGGGCAATAACTCCTTAAGGGGTCCATTGACAATTTTGGTCATTAAACTTATTTGTAGATCTTACTTTGCTGAACATTTTTGCTGTTTACAGTTTATCTTTACAGTTTATCTTTATCTATAATAATATTCAAGATATAACCAAAAACTGCAAAATTTTCTTAAAATTACCAATTTAGTGGCAGCAACCCAACAATGGGTTGTTAGATTCATCTGAAAATTTCAGGGCTGATAGAACTTGACCTAATGAACATTTTACCCCATGTCAGATTTGCTCTAAATGCTTTAGTTTTTGAGATATAAGCCAAAAACTGCATTTTACCCCTATGTTCTATTTTTAGCCATGGCGGCCATGTTTTTTGACGAAACAGAAAATAAAACACAAACTATATTCTAGATACCCTAAGGATCATTCAGCTTAAGTTTGGTTGGAATTGGTTGAGTAGTTTCAGAGGTGAAGATGTTTGAAACAGTTTACACCGGACGGACGACAACAGCGGACGCCAAGTGATGGCAAAAGCTCACCTTTCCTTTGGAAAGGTGAGCTAATAATGGTTTGAAATCATTAGAAGTAATGTATTACAGATATTATCTTTCATTTACAACGTTTTATTTATGATGGTATATAATTATTTATATGTACACATCATTTTATTCTTTATTAAATTACATTCAAATTTTCTATTTCGTAATCCATATGTAATTTATAAATATATTTATGAATAAAAAAATATTCAGCACTAGATTTTTTAAAATAAGCAAAAACAAGGGGAGTAACTCTATAAATTTATTATGAAAAATGTTTTTTGTCGTTTAGGATACTCATCATACCTTTGGGTGACATGACATAACCTATTCAACAGTACTATGTTTGATACCTATATATATATATATAGCTAACTCATTGAATTAACTGCCAAACTGGAAGAAACCAGTGGTTCAAAAATGTGTTTTATTATTGTAAAAGAGAAGGAAGACTCATTTGAGAGATAGGATATCATGGCTAGCTTGGATAATGTGCTTCATATAGAATAAAAGTAATTAATATAATGGTCAATTATTATTATTCAATGTGCCAACACTTGCAACAGTTTCTATTTAATTTTAAAACTAAAAACAATTTTGCTAAATTTGTAAAACTGTTGATACTGTTTATGTACAAAAAGTTTTTTCCAATTTGTGTCACTGGTCAGTGGTTGGGTGGTGAGTAAAGCCATAAAATCATTTTCAGAATTCATACAATATCTCTATATTAACAAGCATTCTGAAAGTATTGCATGGCAATACATAGTCCCCTACCGGGTAAAAATTCATTATACTGGAACAAAATGCTAACTTGTTCTATAACTTGTCATGGTGTAAACAAAAAGTAAATATCATGTCAATATCTTCAAGCATGACTACAGTGTGGAAAACTGATTATATGAGTGAATTTTTCAAGTCCAAGGACCATAACTCTGCACAATATTATTAGACCGAAACAAAAATTTGAACTTGATCTGTAACTTGTCATGAGAAAACTATATACCAATTATCAATCAATATCTTATAAGCATGATGAAAAAAACATTAGATATGATTAATAGTTCTTTAAAATTAGATATGATGTAATACAGTGTATATCTATTTTCAAATTATAATCAAATATAATTAATAGTTCCAAATATTTTTTTCTTTCATTTGTCACAAACTAATATAGATTTGTAACTTATCTATAAAATGTCAACAACTTTTATCTACACAATGTAATGTATTGAAATATATACATTAATAAAAATAGATTATTTTCTAATTAAAGGATTTCTCTTCATAATTTTTTTTTATATATATATATAGCATTCAGAAAATTACTTTATACTAAATAACAAACAAACCTGTCAAAAAATTCTTCATATAATTTACAAAGAATGTCTTTTAAAAAATGAGTTATCTCCCTTTGTACAGAAATATGGTTTAACATAGTACTCTAGATATGGTCCATAACTCTGGACTAAATCATCAGACTGGAACAAAATTTGAACTTGATCTGTAACTTGTCATGATAAAACTATATACTAAATATCAAATCAATATCTTCAAGAACGAAGAAAAAAAGTGTGGAAAGCTGATTTGCCGGACTGACGGATGGACAGACGGACAGACGGACGGAGTGCAAACCTAAAGTCCTCTTCGACTTCATCGGTAGGGGACTAGTTAAAAGAATAAAGTTACAAATTGTGCTAATTAATCAATTAAATCCAATCAACTACAGGTTAACCTCATCAGGTCAATCGATCACTGTTTTAAACAATCAAAATGCTGGTTAAATTTTACCTAGAATTTTTTTACCTCACAAATAAGATTAATCAAGTGAGATAAAATTTTATCGATATACAATTTTTTGACTGAAAATTATAGGATCACGCTCCAAAATTATAGGACAGAAAGTCTGAGGTGCTTTATGGGGAGAACACTGGATGCTAGGCCTTCAAATTTTTCCAACTGGTTATTTTTGATTGTACCCATAGTAATTATGTATTTTGGTCCATTTGTTATAATGGAGCTGAACTCAGAAGACAGTTTTTGTATAATATTGCAGGCAAGCTTTTTCCTTACATTCTGTTGGAAATATTCTGATTATATACAATAAATTTCAATATGTGTCATATCGAGATTGTACTTAGGAATCTTAATATTATTTTAATTTTTTTAAAACGGATGTTTGTATCAACTATGAAATTAATATATTTGATATATATATGCGTCTTAGACATTTTTTTTTATCTCCACAACTGCTATTATTCATAAAATTCAGTAACCTACTGCAAGTCAAATATATATCACTTTTATCTCTTGTACAGTTGTAAAAATGTGACTGATCGAGAACCAGCTACCGTCAGATTCAAAGTATTTACTCTTACCGGTATATTTTTTTTGCAGGAACTCTTTAAGTAAATATTCCTTTTACATATAAAGGGTAACCAAAGTTAGGTTTATATACTCCGACTTCAAATCCTCAACCAAACAACCCCAAAAAACAGGTAACTTCTATGCTGATTTTTGTGGGAATTTTATGGGTACAGTTATCATCCCTTTTGAATCTTGTCATTAAATGAAAGAATTTTCATTTAGCTGTAATCATGGTAATAGGCCACTTACATGTAATGGTTATTGCAGCCATATTGAATAGGGGCAGACTTTTTGGATGGAAGTGGAAATAGTCAGAAAGAACGGGAAAACCTATGCATGTTTCCATGCAACTGTTCTGTTTCAATGTTGTTTTCCCATGTTTTTCAAAGCATTTTTGCCTCCATTATGAAAATCTACCCCTATTCAAAATGATTGCAATAACTGTGAAAGGGTCTATATATAGCTACTTGTCTGAAGATATCAGCAGTATGTTGTTTTTGTGCAACACCTCAGTTATTGATTAAAAAGACAGGTGACAGTAACTGGTAACTGACAGTAACTCACTGGTCGAGTGTTTTTATTCTGTTGACAGAATCGACTGGGTCTGGAGCGACATGAAATATCACAGGCACTTGTTTATATCAATTAGAAGATCCGACATTTAATTTATAATAGGAAACCTCAATTCAGGTATAATCCACCATTTGACATATAATGGGATACACCAATTGAGGTATAATGCAGTTTTTATCCAAAAAAAATTTTAAGATATATTGGAGCATCTTTTTGCATTTACCATAACAAGCTTTGATGACCACTTAGTGATGACATGTAATTGATTCTGACACTGCATGCTGCAATTTGTTAGAGAAACCTAATAAACAGCTGCGCCATGAGCGCATGATACGCCCGTCGTCTTGTGTGTGAATTTTTATGCAATAAGCATAAATAGTTTCTGACATACTGCGTGACATGCGAAAACCCCCCTTTTTTTTTTTTACAAAAAACTCAATATCTCTAAAATAAAATTTTGAATCAAAACCAAAAAGTATACAGATCTTTAGATTAATATAACTAAGAAGTGTGTAAAATTTTAAGCAATAATCATAAATCGTTTTTGAGATACGGCGCGACATGTGAAAACCCCCCTTTTAAAAAAAAAAAAATCAATATCTCAAAAATAAAATTTTGAATCAAAACCAAAAAGTATACAGATCTTAAGGTTAATATAACTAAGAAGTGTGTAAAGTTTTAAGCAATAATCATAAACAGTTTTTGAGATATGGCGCGACGTGTGAAAAACCCCTCCCCCTTTTTTTACAAAATACTCAATAACTCAAAAATAAAATTTTGAATCATCACCAAAAAGTATACAGATCTTAAGGTTAATATAACTAAGAAGTGTGTAAAGTTTTAAGCAATAATCATAAACTGTTTTTGAGATACAGCGCGACATGTGAAAAACCCCTCCCCCTTTTTTAACAAAATACTCAATATCTCTAAAATAAAATTTTTAATCATCACCAAAAAGTATACAGATCTTAAGATTAATATAACTAAGAAGTGTGTAAAGTTTTAAGCAATAATCATAAATTGTTTTTGAGATACGGCGCGACATGTGAAAAAAACACACACCTGTTTTAGTTACTAAGTCCCGTAACTCAAAAAGTTTTAATCTTATTTTCACCAAAAAGTATACAGATCTTTTGACCATCATAAGAAACAACTATGTTAAGTTTCATGAAATTTGGATAAGTCATTCTCAAGTTACGGTGCGACATGTTTACGCCAGACAGACAGACGGACAGACAGACAGATATATGCCGGACATTTGTATACCATAATACGTCCCGTCAAAAATTTGACGGGCATATAAAAACTAATATGATCCTCCTTTTCCTACTTAAAAATTCTGAGTTTTCATCTATTAATGCTTATTTTTGTTCTGTAGTCTCTTCCTGTCCATTTCGACTAACAAATCTAAAAGTTGGAACTGATGCAGACTTAAGGAAAGCTATGTGAATATCCACAAATTGGTGGATTATACCTCAATTGAGGTATAATTCACATTTTCACCAAACACAGCACTGGAAGTCGGAAGTAATTACGTGTCATTAATGAGTACTTATCAAATCTTAAGGATTATGTACCCTTGTGTTGATTCAATGCTGAACATAAGGAAATTTTATAGAAAATCCACAGCCTTTTCACTTGTACTCTCATATTTGACAATTAATTAGCAGTGCTAGCAATAATTCCTTTAAAACAAGTTTATAAATTCAGATATTGGTTAAAACAAATATAAATATGGACCAATTTAAGTACATCTTTTATGGTGCGCTCGACTTTAGTGACCTAGCACGAGGTGTTTTGGAATTTAAAGGTTGTTTAGAACTTTTTGTAAACAATAAACGCTAGCTGATCATAGAAAAACAAGTGAGTAATCTATGTTTAAAATTTTATAACAAAAATCTCTGTATTAAAGCCTGTGGATTTTCTACAAAAATCTTGGTTTTATTTTCACCAAATTCTCTTTTTCTACTAAATGCAATTAAACTATAAATAATAATGCTTTACACGAAGTTTCCCCTTGACATATGTACAAAATGGTCCATCTCTTTTATTCATTATCTTTGCTGTTTTGATACTATTGCAGTTTGAAAATTTCTTAATTGACATGGCCACAGAAGGGGTCATAAACCTTAAGAGGGAATATGCAAAAAGATGCTCGAATTTAAAATTTAAAAATTTTTGTGATAAAAACTGCATTATACCTCAATTGGTCTATCTCACTATATGTCAAATGGTGGATTATACCTCAATTGAGGTATAATCTATCAATTAATGGTTATTCCTGACCTGATCAGTTTATGCCATTATGGCAATTAAACTATAAATAATAATGCTTTACACGAAGTTTCCCCTTGACATATGTACAAAATGGTCCATCTCTTTTATTCATTATCTTTGCTGTTTTGATACTATTGCAGTTTGAAAATTTCTTAATTGACATGGCCACAGAAGGGGTCATATGTCAAATGTCAAGATCAAGTGAGCATAAATAATTTATGCCGATTAAATTATGGTGAAAAACTTATTGCTCGTTAGCTTTCAGTTTACAGCTTTATGGATATTGATAGGAAATAAACAAAACTTAACAAACATTTGCTTTCTTTCACCGTTGTAAAATGGGTCAACAAATTTAATTTTCCTGTGCTTTTTACTTTTCTGTGGTTTAGACATTTTCCCCATGCTTGTTTGTTGTTTTTGTTATCTCCCCTGTCAGTTTCCCCTTGATCATAAATTGATGACGTTTTTAGCAGTTCCGGTAACGTTGAAACAAATTTTGAAGTTGATTGAAAGTATCATTCGTATGTATTTCAAAATATAATGTTGATTGGTCGATTAAGTTTAAAATGAACTAAATTGAAAACTGACTCTTAGCAACCTTAAACTGTTTAAATGAAAGAAAATCAGATTTAAGTTTTAACTGGAAAAAAAACCACTAAACACCTTTTTAGCTCATCTGGCCTAAACTAAAGATCAAGTGAGCTTTTGTCATCACTTGATGTTCGTCGTCCGTCCGTTGTAATCTTTAAAAAAAATTCTCCTCTGAAAATACTTATCCAAATGTTACAAACTTTTACCTGTATGTTCCTTGGAGCATGTGTAGGGTTAGTCCAAATAATTATGACGTCTTGAAAGGCTATTATATTTTTTTCTTTGACGCCTTACATCGACGATGTAAGGCATCAAAGAAAAAAAATATAATAGCCTTTCAAGACGTCATAATTATTTGGACTAGTATAGGGTATATATCTTGTTGAAATTCGTATCGTGGATTTGATCCATCAACAAACATGGTCGCTTTTGCTAAAAATAGATCATGTTGTAAAATGCAGTTTTGGGCTTATATTTCAAAAACTAAAGCAGTTAGTGCAAATCTGATTTTGGGTAGAATTCGCCGTTTCAGAATCTAATGCATTCTGGGTAATATTTTCACTGGTGTACACCAAAACATCGTGATTGGTTAAAAACGTCATAAACAATGGAACTTCAACCAATGAAGTGACATTATTTTCATTTTTGGGTACGAACCAAAAAATTACCCATAGTCCTTTAGATTCTGAAATGGTCAATTGATCAACAGATCAAAATATATCACCTGAGGAATTTTTAGAAAAATCCGACAACCAATTTTAGAGCTATTGCACCGAAGATATATTTTTTTTTTACAAATTTCCCTGTATTTCAATTTTGTTTTTTTTCTTGAAAACTATAATAGACAGAGAAATTTTAAACAGTAAAAATGACCAGAACAATAATTATATAGATCTACAAATAAGTTAACTTGTCAGAAATCGTCAAATGAACCCTTACAAGAGTTATTGCCTTTAAATGATGAATTTGATCCTTTTTGCATTTTGTATTAAACTATAGGTAATATAATCTCTCATTAACAATGTTCAACAAAATATGATCAACATAAAAGTTACCATGGATGAATTGTCAATTGACTCCTTATAATTATAGATTTATTGCCCCTGAAAGACAAATTCTACTGATTTTTTGCATTTTCTACAGAAAATATAATAGATGGAGAGAAATTTTGAATGCAAAAGTGTTCAGCAAAATAAGTCAAGATAGTCAAAGTGTCAGTTGACGTCTTATAGGAGTTATTGCCTTTGAATATTTTTTTTTAATTTATTGCAGAAACCACTATAGAGTTTAAAATTGTAAAAGCAAAGATAGCACAATAATATCTACAAATAAGTCAACATGAGTGAAATTATCAACTGACTCCTCTGGGAATTATTGCCCCTGAATGACCATTTATGAAAGTTTTTTTGCAGAAACAATGATAGATAGATAGCAACAATAAAAAGCTCTACAAATAAGTCAACAATGTTGAAATTGCCAATTGACCCCTGAGAGGAGTTATTGTCCTTGAATGATGATTTTATTTTCTCCATTTTTTTCAGTTTTTGCACTAACTATAATCATGATAATAGATCATGTAGATAGTGAGAAACAGCAACAAAAGCAAAAATGTTCAGCACAATAAGATCTAAAAATTAATTATCATGAACAAAATTGTCAACCAACTTCTTACAGAAGTTATTTCCCTTGAATGATGATTTTTATCCAGTTTTAAATTTTTTTCCAAAACTATAAGAGTTGGAGAGAAACTTTTAAAACCAACAAACATGACAAAGATCAGTAAAATAATTAAATCTTTAAAAAAGTCAAAATGGTTAAATTGTCACACTATTGTCATAAACTGAGGTTTTGTATTTTTTTCATTTCAAAGACTTTAATAGATTTTACCAGGTGAGCGATTCAGGCTCTTGGTGATAAAATTGACTCTTCTAGCTGCCATTCATGCTCCCATTGTTTTCTATGTCTATTCCGTGGTACAACAGTCAATTTTGCCAAATAGTTTTGCATAAACATTAGACAAAAATAACTCTGTTCACACAACATGTGCAACTAGAATCATTTATTCATTAACAAACCCGGCAGCAGCTACAAAATGTATAACGGTATATATATAGAAAAAAAATGCTGTTTTGTGTTTCAGAAAAATGAAATTGTTTCAGGATTTCAGGATTTTGAGATCTATTTTTTTTTTTCATCAATGTACAATTAATAGACCACTTTCGAGTAATGTCCTTCACCAGAAAAGTTTGTCAATTATATGCATGCCTTTATGAAGTCATTTACCAGATAGAGGGGCATGCCTTTATCCCTGCATTATTAAAGTTCAAAAGCGTCTTCATGATTGTCATTATGCAGGATAAACTAGAAATAATGTTTGTTCCGTAGGTACTTAATCACAGCAGTGCTGATTATCAATTAGAAGAATTTAATTTGCCATATAATTCGTGCAATATAGCATCATATTTTTCAGCCGCTCTCTCAACATGGGAAAAAAGTGACAATGCCCCTAAACGCACGAATGATGTTCACTAAAACCAAAGTTTTTGACAGAATTGCAACCAACTGGAAAGTGGTCTATTGGGCCAGATGGTTAAACATACTATATATATATAAGTCCCTTCAATCATGACAGTGCATACAGCTTCTTAAGTTGATCTCAAATTTCTAAATCTTTCTAGTAAATTCATCTTTAATTTACACTTCTTTACAACTGAGTCATGCCTTTAGCTTATTCTCTTTTTTCCCTGCTGGTTTTCATTTCAAACCTATTTCATGATGAATGTTATTTTTCATTCTCTAGGACATGTTTTATCTTTTTTTTTCTTCAATATTGTTCAATCTAATTATAACAAGCCATCTCAACTCTTACACTAAGATAAAGAACATGATTTCAATACCATATAAGCATGTATAATTCTACATAAATCAAAATCTGACAGATTCTTGAAGTCTCAAATCTTCTCTTAATTGACCATATTTACATATAAAAGAAAGAGTTACATGTACAATAATCTGAAATAACTTTGACTGTGATTTTGATATGAACAAAATAGAAATTTTCATAATTAATGGCAATTAATTTGCTTAAAAAAGATTAAGGTTACACGAAGGATTCAGGCCCAGTAAGATAGGGATAAGCAATCAGAGAACACAGGAAATGTCTTACTGCTAGGATACAATTATATTGCGGTTTTTCAAAAGAGAGTGTTCTTAGAAAACCTCCTTACATTATCAGATATTCAAACACTTATTCCAAAAACTTAAGATATATGCTTGATGTTTTTAACTTATACATATGTATCTCTTGACCATGTTGACTTTTCTATCATTTTATTTTAGAGGCTTGTTGTGGGATAAAGGAAACATTACACATGCTTTGTCTTGACACACACAATGAGAAGACTGTTAATTGAAAAATGAGCATGTACAGTTTGTCAAAAAACGTTCATTCAGTCTTGACACAAATATTAAGAAAAAGACTTTTATGTTGTGATATAAACCATTTAGTCTATGACGTAAGAAATGGATGTCAATCATGTCGAACAGTGAGACATAACAGTTCTCAACCCAATACACAACCTAAAAGTTCTGACCGTAAAATAAGCGACGATGATAAAGATATAGAACCAAGTTTAAAAACTGTCTTAGGCGATAATGTAAACAGTGATAAAACCTGCAGCACAGATGTTATACCTGGGAAGGGACGACCACCTGAACCTCCGGTGGATTGCTGTATGAGTGGATGTGCTAATTGTGTGTGGATACAGTATGCAGAAGAATTGAAACAATACTATTCTGATGGATCAAAAAGAGCTTTAAAAGAAATTGACACAATAGAAAATGAATCATTAAAAGCCTTCATTAAGCTGGAATTAGGTTTGCTTAAATAACTACCTCAGTTTTCTGATGGATCAAAAAGAGCTTTAAAAGAAATTGACACAATAGAAAATGAATCATTAAAAGACTTCATAAAGCTGGAATTAGGTTTGCTTAAATAACTACCTCAGTTTTACTAATAGTTATGTTCTAACTTATTTATACTGGAGTATTCTCCCTTTGCATAGTGTTTAGCCTTTACTCATTAAGTAAGTACAGTCAGATGTTCACGTTAATTTGTAAACTTTGTCATATATTTTTTGACAAATCTTTTAAAGCCTTCATATACTCTTTTTACAAATATTACAATTTTATTTTTAGCTGAAGTTATCTCCCCTTGCACATCGAATCAACTTTGTTTTAAAGTGCACAAGTGTCAATTTTTTTTTAATTGACTTTTACAGAGAATAAAATCATAAATTTGTTTTTAAAACACTTGTAAAGTCAAATTGAAATTTTTTTTGTAGCTTTTCTCTAAACTAAAAAACTTAAATTGATTTTTAATTTAGATGCTGATCGTCTGACCCAATGTGTTAGCAACTTGGTCTCTGTCATATGGTTTGTTAACAAAAAAAATGTGATAAATATAGTAAAAGATGTACAAGAGACGAATGCCAATTTTGAAAAGTGCATTCTCAGTGCAACCACATGTTGTTTATACATATATTTACTAAAAAATTAATTGGCAAGTACATTTTCATGTCACCTTGTAAATAAAACCCTCAGTTTTACATGTATACAAATACCTCATTAGTACAGTGACATCTATTTGCATTCTAGGGATGATTTTAAGAGTTTATTTTAAATGCACAGTTTACAAAATTTATGTAACTTTTGTTTTAAGTGACTAGTGTGATTTTGTACTTTAGTTTGAGCTTGTACTTTTTCATCCAGAAGATTATTTTGTTTATATATCTAGTATAAAGTATGTATTTTTTATACCTGCCAATCAACCAACATGACTACCATGG